GCGCGCCCCTCCCCGCCGGGCGTGCCCCGCCTGCCCGCTCACCTGTGTCACGCCCCCGCGCACGCACCTCGCGGGGTGCGCGCGCGCCGTCCTGCAGCGTCGCCGGCCGCAGGCCAAGGAGCTCGGCTCCTCGAGAGCACCGACGGACGACGATCGGCTCCTCAGCAGTGGGACGCCGAGCTGGAGGCTCGGCCCGGAGCTCGCGCGGGCACGTGGAGCTTTCCGCTCGGGCCAGCAGGAAACGGGCGCCCCGCACAGCGACGCCCGCCGTAGAGTGCCGAGAGCTCGGCTCGACGCGAGCGCCGAGGAAAAGCGATCGGCTCCGCAGCAGTGGGACGCCGAGCTGGAGGCTCGGGCGGGAGCTCGCGCGAGCACATAGCGAGGTGCGTGCGCGGCGGCGTGACACAGGTGAGCGGGCAGCTGGCGCACATTTCGACTGTGGGAGCTGCCAGGAGTTTGCTCTCTCCGTTCACACCCCTTTGCAGAATTCTTTCCGCCTTTATGCTTTAACCGCACGCCCGCTGCTGGCAGGCTGCTGCAGCGAGAAAACATGGAGAAAGAAAGCGTTGCTCAATAAGTGTGGGCGGGCATGCACTCGTGGTGGCGGCGTGCCGCGTCCTCCCATCCCTCCCTTGGCGCTTGGGGTGCCTGTTTTCTTTGAGCTCCTTTCTTTTCTTTGCACTCGGGCATGGCACTGTTGACGCGTAACTCTACCCAACAAACGCGCAGCGGTGTACATGCTGCGCGCGCGGGGGGTGAAACAGCTGAGGCTGGTCATACCAGATGCAGATCAGAAGGCCTGAGGCACAGTCGCGGGCGCACTCGCGCCCGGCCGCTACTCGGCCTTGCGCGCCGCGGCGCTCTCGCTCGCGTCGTCGCTCTGCAGCGCCTCACGTCCCCTCTTTGCGAGGATGGCCGAGGAGAGCTCTGCGGAGCGGAGCAGGTCGAGCTTTGGCATCGGCAGCTCGCCGCGCGAGAGGGCGAGAGCGTCGTGCCGCGGGTGCTTGACGGTGCGGAAGAGGGAGTCGAAGAGGAGAGTCATGAAGCCAAAGTTGTACCTGGGGGGGAGGGGCGGAGAGGGAGGGGGCGGGGGGCGTGTGCCGCGAGCGGCGGCGGCGAGGAGGGGGGGTGCGGGCGTGGTGCGCGCGCCAGTTGTATCGGTGGTGGATGTAGTGGTAGTCGCATCCCATGAAGGGCCAGGGCAGCGGGAAGAGGTCCGTGTGGATGTAGAGCGTCCACAGCCCCGTGAGCACCTCCATCAGGTACACGAACCCGATCGGCACAGGCACCAGCAGCGTCGCGAGCGGCAGAGCCATCCCCTGCGACCAGCCTGCAGCAGCGGGCGGGGCGGCGCGTCAGCAGACGCAGCTGCCCCGGCCAGGCGCGCGCCGCCCTCCGGCCGCGGCGCACCGTCCTGCGGCGCGAACGAGTACCCAGAGTACGCGTTCAGCTGGTCGGCGTACCTGCACGGTGTGGCGCGCGGTGGGCGCGTGCGCGGGCGTCGCAGGCCGGCCCTTTGGTTGCGCGCGGCGGCGGTGCGAGCGGCGCACTTGTACACGTGGTGGAAGGCGTGCTGGCCGAGCCGCTTCCCCACGCTCCACTTGTGCAGCAGGTAGTAGTGGTCCACGAAGATGATGAACTCGAGCAGCAGAAAGTAGGCGGCGCAGCCGAGCAGCGCACGCGCCGGCCCGCCGCAGTCGTCGATGCCACCGCACGCCTGCGACCAGCCCTTCACCTGGAAGAAGTCGGTCAGCAGCGGCACCGTCACGTACAGCGGGAAGGCCGCGTGCGACACCTGCCGGCGGCGAGCTACGGCTCGGCTCTCTATGACGCCGGCGCCGGGCGGCGGGTGCGGGCGGTGGGCTTCGCGGCTTGAGAGCGCGCGCCTCGATCATATTGTCGACCAGCTTCTGCGGCACGGCACTCGTCGGTGCGTCGGGGTACCACCTCTCGCAGAAGGCCCGAACGCCCGGAGCAAAGATGTGGTAGAAGATGTGGATCAGCGCATAAAAGGCGCACCAGCAGACGAGCCGCCCGCACAGATCCGAGAGGAGGGATCCCTCGCTGCCAAAAACGAAGGAAAGTGTCTCGGGCGCTATGCCCGCGTGCAAGAGCGCAGGTCCGAGGAGGACCTGCAGCAGTGGAGTGTGGCTGGGCATTCCGGCGGCCAAGGTCGAGCGTGCGGGTCGCCGTGGAAGAGAAATTTTCCCGTTGCTTCAAGATCCTCCTCCTCCCTCCCCTGCTGCTGCTGCTGCTGCTCGTGCTCTGCACCCCCTTTTAGGTACGCACGTCGCACCGGGGTACACCGCACACACACACCGTCACCGACGCGCGACAGCTCCAGCCTCTATCCACCACTCGCCCCCGACTCACAGCTCTGCACAGCTCCCAGCTCACAGCTATGAGTCGACAGTCATCATTGCACTGGCACAAAGTCAAAGCCGAAGAGGCCGCTCGCCGACCCTTCCGCCGTGCTGCCCGCCAGCGGTGGCGCCGGGGCCGCGCCTCTCGCCTGGCCGCGCCGTGAGCGGGCGGTGGGGGCACGCGCGGACGCACCTGACGCCTGAGACGCCGAGCGCGCGCTGTTCCTAGCGGGCAGCGCATGCTCCTGCGTTTGATCGCACCACAGACACTGCACGTGCAGGCGGCGCCGCCGCGCCGCCGGCTTGCGCGGCCGTGAGCGCACAGCGGCATGCGCGTTGACGCCAGGCACGAGGATTGAGCCGCAGTCGCCGCAGAGCCGCTGGTGGAGCCGCTGCGGTAGCTTCATGTTTGCACCTCGCGCGAGCCGCAGCAGCTCGAGCACGAGATGCCGAGAGAGCTCCGGCGCCGTCGACGCGTGCGCGTGAGCACTCTGCAGGAGGAAGCGCAGCCGGGCCGTGTTTGCCGACTTATCGGCCGCCGCATCGTCCGCCGCCGAGGCGGCCGAGGCAGAGGCGGCCGCCGCCGCAGCCGCCGCTGCCATTGTCGTTTTTTTTTGACACCGGCAGAGAAAAAACAAATTACAACACGGAACCCTTTCAAATAGAAAAGAGATGGAGCTCACTCGACCGCCTCGCTCGTGCGGGCGGGCCCTCACAGATCACAGATCACCTACCTACCGCCGCGTAAACGACGCGGAAGTCTCTCCCGCATAAAGCCGGGGAGAGAAGATGGGCCGACCACGGGACCAAGAAGACAACTAGAGTTGTTTGGTATTGCTAAAAATCTCTCTCTCTCCAAGAAGATTGGGCCGACCGACCACGCACCACGGGACCAAGCAGAGGCTCGAGCAGACACACAAATGTATGTAGGATATCCTACATACATTGTGTGTGTGAGAGAGAGATTTGGCCCACATTTTCACAGGGAAAAAGAATCACGCTTGCAAAAACCGCATTTATTGCCGATACAGCCGAACGAACGGACGCGCGAGTTTGCCTTGCGGTCGTCGGGCGCGCGGAGCAGCGAGCCTGAGCACAACATCGATGCCCAAGTTCTCCAACCCTTTCCACAGCAAACCCACGCTCGAGGTGCCCCTCGTTTCAGGCGGGACCAAAAAGGTGAGCAAGAAAGAGCTCGCGAAGGCAGGCGTGATAGCTGCCGTCACTGTCGGCCTCATCGTCGTGGGCTACTTTTGGATGCCCGCAGGGAGCGCAGAGTCCGTCGCCGGAGCCGCCAAGGGGGCGAGCAGCAACCTTCTCTTTGGCTTGGACTCTCCAACATTATGGATCGTCACGCTCCTCGCCGCTCTGCCCCGGTGTGCGGCATCGCTCGTGCTGGGAATGGCCCTCGCCCTCAGCGGGACTGCAATCGAAGGCCGAGCCGTTGGATCCGCGGGTGCATGCAATGGAGTGGCGGCGGCGGTAGCGTCCATCGCGAAGCCAAGTTGGTTGGCTGCCATTCCGCTGCATGTGGGAGCCGGACTATGCTTTGGTCTGATGGCGCTCTCTGCATTCTCCGAGCAAGCGGGAGAACGGCGCATGCCGCTCGTCAAAAAGTTTGCCAGCTTGCCGCAAGCGGCGCACTTGGCGCTACCGCTGGCCCTCCGCACACTGGCCGGCCTCTCCTTCGGGTTGGCCGGATACCTCCTCGTGGCCGTTTGCGTGCTTGCGGCGACCTGCGTGCTCCTGGTTGCGGGGCACCTCTGTGGCCGCAGCATCGCGGAGAGTCTGGAGGGTTTGCACCAGAGCGGGGTCAATCTGAGACCTGCGCACGGCGGCATTGGTCTCTTGGCGGTGCTGGCGGTGCTCGAGCTGGGATCAATCAAGCCTTATTGACGATGCCTACCCCGTAGGCGTACGGTACTCGGTAGCTCTCACACACGCGGTTGTCGCATGTCAGTTCCCGTGACTGGTGACACGGTCTGTCGGACTCTCAGTCAGAGGACAGATGTCAGAGCGTTAGCCGCGTACTGTTTAGTCAAAAGAAACTCTCGAGTGTACACGCCCATGCCGACTCTACGCGTATTGAAGAAAAACAAAAACTGGTTGGGTAGTAGGCTAAGTTCTGAGCCTCGAGGCTTAACGGGTCTAAGTGTGACCGGTCACGCTCGGGTGCGTACGCGGTCTAAGATCGGCGGAGCCTCTTATGCGGGCTAAGTCGGCCGTGATCATTAGGGTTGCCTCAAAATTTTCTTCGCCTGTTCGCCTCTGCGGCGGGCGTGCGTCGCAACTTGCGCACGCCGCACGGAGGCTGAGAGGAGGGCGTGCGCGGCAAGTGGCGACGGCAGTTGTAGCTTGTTGACCCATGGGGTCGTGCAAGGGTTTACACTTTTTATTTAGCAGACCGCGGGCCGGACCGGGCCCAGCCTGGCTCTGGGCTGTGGGCCCTGTGGCTGGGGCGGGCGGGGGGGGGGGGGGGGGGCTTCCTGCAAAAACCCGGAACTGGCCACCTCGTGTCGTCTAAGTTCGTGAGTCCGATCACCAGCGTCTAAGTTTGAGAGCCCGTTTCCTTCCGGGGGCTTAGTTCTCAGCGCTCGGCTGCGAGAGCAGGTCTAAGTTTTGTGGGCAACCCTCTAGCCCTCTACCCCTCTAGCTACCCCTACTACCCCCAACCATTAGAAACAACGGAGCGTGGACACACGTGTGCACGTCGGACTATCTCACAGTGCTTCAGTGTGGCAGTCGAACGCGACGCGAGAACGACAGCTCTCGTCTCGGCCGCGCAGCAGTCGTCGCCGTTCATTCCAAAAGCCCATCCGTGATGCTCGACCGCGAGCCTGCCGTCGCCGCTGGGCCGGCAGCGTCGGCTGTTCCGGCTGGCGTGCCCGGAACGCTGCTGCGCACCACCGCGGCCGAGGACGGCCGGCGCGACGAGCGAGGGGTGGGAGCAGCCGAGGCGCCGCCGGGAGTGCGGCGGGAGGAGCGCCCGGGCGTCCTGCCTGGCGTCCTGCCTGGCGTCTCGCGGCGCGGCGTGAAGGACGAGTACGAGGCGCGCAGCTCCGAGCCTCCCAGCCCGCTCGGGTCGGGCACGGCTTGCTTCGAGAGCGAACGGGCTAGCCGGTGGCCCGCCGCAGAGAGCTCCGCCTGCCCGCCGCAGGATCGAGGGGACGAGACGGCCAGCGCGGCCCGGCTGCTGCCGCCCCCCGGGAGGGCGCTCGCGCCCGGGGTCCGCGCACGCCGCCGAGCACTGCCCGCGAGCGCGTGTGCCTTCGCGTCCTTGGGCGGCAATGCGGGCACCTTGAACGGGTTGTGGCCGCCTCCCTCGGCGAGGCGGAGAGGCGTGCCCAGCACCGCGCCCCAAGTGACCATCGGCGACTCGTCCGGCCCAAGGCTCGGCGCGGGAGTGGAGACGAGCGGATACGCCTCGGTACGACCGCCGCCGCCGCTGCCGCCGCCGCCGCCGCCAGTGCTGCCGCCGCCGCCGCCGTTCGCCGCCGCCGCGAGCACGTCGGCGGCGTCTGCGAAGCGCGTGTTGCGGGCGACTGTCTCCCGCGGGGGCAGGTGCGCCGCGTACTCAAACTGCGTCGGGTGCGCGTCGGGCACGTGGTAGAGAGCCGTCTTGTGCGAGAAGCGTGCCGTCTCGAGGCGCGCCGGACGGTCGTCGCGGTCGATGGCCCCCTGCTTGTGCCACGGGCGCTCGAGCTCGACGGGCGCGGCGAGGGCGCGCGGGCCGGCCGGCGGCGGGGCCAGAGGCTGCTCGGGCACCACAGCCCGAACCACCGCCAGCGCAGACGCGTCCAGCGCCCCGGCGGACGTCGACGAGACAAAGTCGCGCCGGTCGCCCGTCGAAGGGAGGCCGCCCACAGCCGCCGCCGCCCCGCCGCCCGCAAACGCCACCAAAGCTGCCTCGGGAGGCTGTGTGGCGGCGGCGGCGGCGACGGCGAGCCCATCGGCCACCGCCAACGCACCGCCGCCGGAGGCGGCCACCGCAGTCATGCGCCGCTCGTCTCCCCGCCCGACCCAACCCGCCGCCATAATCGCCGCGCCGGGCGGGCCAGCACTGCCCACCTCCCCTCTGCCCGCCGCCCCTCTGCCCGCCTCCCCTCTGCCCGCCTGCCTGTCCGCCCCTCGCGCAGCGCCGGCTACCTCCGCCTTCGCGCTCTCCTCCTCCGGGTGTGCGAGGAGGCGGACGAGGGTGGACGAGGTGGGCGGCGCGTCGGCGGCGGTCGAGGCCGCCAGCTTGCGCGCGTGCTTGCTCTGCGACGGGCCCTTGAGCGCCGCCGCCACCTCGAGCCCGCGCAGCTCGGGAAAGTCCTCGAGCAACTTTGGCGGCGGCGGCGCGCCGTCGGTCAGCTGCGCGCGCACTTGCTGCGCGAGTCCCTCGGGCGCGTCCTGCGCCCACCAGTAGCGCCTCCGCCGCTCCGCCTGGTCCCGCTCCAGCAGGAGCCCAAACGAGGCGTTGTCCTCCGACGTGTGGCTCGCCAGAAAGGCGTCGAGACCGCCGCCACAGCCACCGCCGGCAGCAACGGCGCTGCTGCTCGAGGTGCGGGAGGCGTCGCCCGGCGGGCCCGCAGCGCCGGCGGGCCGCTTCTGCCTCGCCTTGCCGTCGCCGGCGCGCCGCGGCGTCTCATCCCACTCGGACCGCTGCCCGCGGGTCGGCGGCCGCTCCTCGCGGCGCGAGCTGTGCGCTGCAGGCGTGGCTGCACCGACCATGGCGTAGGCGCGGCGCGCGCGCTCAGGGTCGTCCGCCTCGATGGCGAGCAGCAGCTCGTGCTGCGCCCGCAGCAGAGGCAGGCCCGGAAAGTAGTCGCGCTCAATGATCCGGTCGAGTGCCGCGACGAACTCGTCCTCGTCGAGCACGCGCTTGCGCTTTGCCGCCCGCGTCAGCTGCGCGTCGCGTGCGGCGGAGGCGCGCGCGACGAGCGTCCGCTGGAACGATGACGCCGAGGACTCCATTTTGAGTGGTTTTAGCCGAGCCCAGTGAGGTTACCGACTGCACCCCGGTGAGCCACACCGAACGTACCGCGAAGAGCCGAGCGGAAGGAGAAATCCATCTCACGTCACGATGCATCCGAAGGGGACCCCAGCGCCGGCATCATCCGTAGAGGCACGAGTGTTCGAAGAGAGAGTGGACCTGAGCAACAACATGACCTGTAGGCAAATGATCGGAGTGGGAGTCAGAAATGTGGTCCTTGCGCGAGGGGAGCTCGATAGACTCGAGGGGCCAGGATACGCCGCGAGGAGGACGGAGTTGCGCCGAAAGGCGAAAGAAGCCGCGAGAACAAGGGACCGGCAGGCGGCGGCGTCGCAGGACGAGGCAGAAGAGAACAACGCGACAGAGGAGGAAGTGACAAGGGAGAGAACGACGAGGGTGGGACGACCGCGAGGTGGCATGAAGGTTGGACAGGCCAAGGTCCGACAGGTTCGGCACTGGGCTCTGGGCACCGCCTCGGTATACAAAATGCGCCTGCGGGCGGACCCTCACAGATCACAGATCACCTACCTAACGCACTCTCTCACATGACAAGCGATCCCAGGAAAGAACTCGCGGCGGTGAGGGCGGTGTGGCTGCCCACTAGAGACGTCGTTAAACGCCGAAAAGGAAGGAGGGGGTAGGGGGGTAGGGGGTCGGTAAAGATATCCAGCGATGCTACCCTACCCTACACCCCTCACGTCTCGAACACAGGGAACTTCCCGCTTCGGCCTTCTAAAAAACAAAAAGAAAAATCGCGGTGCTCAATCCTGGGCACGGGACTGGCTGGCGCGCACCGGCACACCACAACGACGATACAGCCGCATGCCGACGACCCGCTCTCAGTCGAAGAGTGATGCTCGCCGCCTCCCGATGGTGCTGTGGCCGCCCAACCTAATTGGCTACGTGCGCGTGGCGACGCTGTGCGCGGCGATGCATGCGGCCGATCCGGCAGGATCCGACGCCGTCTGGTTTTGCTTCGTCAGCCTCTTCCTCGACTACCTCGACGGCCCGTGCGCGCGCTACCTCAACATGTGCGCCCTCAACATACACGCACAGCCCATACACGCACAGCCGTCGCCAAAGTGGAGTCATGCGTCACTGTCACGAGTGCCCATCATCGAGAGGCCCGCCCTGCCGCGCACTGTGCTGCACAGGTGTAGCCAGTTCGGCGACCTGCTCGACCACTACACGGATCACGTTACGATGCAGTGGCTCGTGTACGTCACCGCCAGCGCCGGCCCGTTCGGGCGCGCCAACCTCGCGGTGAGCACGCTACACAACGGAGTCGCGTTTGCGTACATGGCGCTGCGTGGGCACTACTTCAAGCACTCGGAGAGGGGTAACATCGTGACGCGGACGATCGAGGCCAACAACTACTGGAACATGGCCTCGATGCTCTACGCCGCCAACTGCATCCTCATCCCGCTCGTGAAGCTCTCCTTCGCGGGCCACCACGGGATGACGCCGCCCGACGCGTCCGCTCCGCTCATCGACGTCGTCGACGCGGTCGGCGCTGCCGTCACGCTGTCCTACAGCTTCGCCGTCTGGCTCTAGCGCCGCCATGGCGACTCTCAGCATTCGTCTCTCTTTCTTTGGGTTCATGCGGCTGACGTCGGCGTGCCGAGTGCGCTATGCGCTACGCTCCTACGCACACAAAAACCGGACATCACTGCAAAAGAGTTATACATGTGTTCCATCCTCCGTCGTCGATCCACCCCACATTCTGACACACGGACGACGGACACAGTGGACACACACGGCACACGCACACACGCACACACGCACGCGGCACACCCGTGTGCGCCCCCCCAGTGCTCAAACTTTACCGGTATGGGAGTTTTTGGCTAATCAAACCCAAGGCTGTACTAATCAAAAAGTGGTACGGGATACCAGTTGCCTCACGGAAATCAAAGCGAGTCGGAGTGCCTTCTTGGTGGCAAAATCTCGGCAAAATCGGCAAAATACCGGGTATTTGCGGGTATACCTGAAAAAACCCGGGTATACCTGGCTGGATAATTAATACCGGCACTTTTGCATGGTTTCGCCCCCGGGACCACACGACAGCCGCTACAACTAATCAAAACCCCCGCATACCACTTTCGCATACCACTGTACCACACACCACTCCAAAACTAATCAATATATCACCAAATATCGGTCTCATACCGGTAAAGTTTGAGCACTGACCCCCCCCCCCCCCTCTCACTGTGTGGGCGGACGAGTACGCCCTCGCCACAGACGCCACGCGCACGCCATGACCACACCACACCGACCGCGCACAGACCGCACACACAGCACCAGTCTGAAAGAAAAGAGTCCGAAACTCGTTCGTGGAAAACTGCTCTTGTGGATGGGGCGGTCTCATGCACGCAGGGTGGCAGGGTGCCGCTGCCGGTTGAAGGAGCACAAGTCTGGTGGCTTGAGATGCGGTTGTCGGTCAAGGCGGAGGAGGCCCGAGCGAGCGAGCCAGCGAGGTCAGGCTGGGTCCGTTACAGACGAGGGATGGGGGAGGAGGACAGGGTCCCCACCTGCACGAGCAGGATTTTGGAAGGACGATCAGGGCTCAGGGGGACAGGTGGGGCTCTCCTGCTCCTGACAAGGGACACGAGAGGCTCGCAGCGCGGTGCACGGTGGGCTCCCAACTCCACTGGCGGTCTCATCTCAGTCTAGCGACCTGCCTCCAGCTTCTTGCTGGCAGTCTCTCACTACCACAGGCACACTGACATTGATTGATTGATGGGAAGGCGAAACACAGTCCGACCAACGACTGGGACACCAACGCGGTATGGGTGGACGCTAGACAGGCGATGACGGTCACACAGGAGCGACACACAGAACCACAAGACAAGACACTCAGCCAAACTGACTGCCACACATCCTGAGCGAACTTCCCTAGACACCCGCGGCCGGACTCCATCCGGCACGCGTCGCTGGGCGCTCAGAGCCGCGTCCCCTGCTCGCCACCCCGACGCCCAAATGCGCCCGAGCGAACGACAGGCGGCACGCGAAGACTGGTTGCAATCCCGCCGACCGCGAGGCCGCGGGATGATGCGTGCGTGGTCTTGTAGTGGGTCTCGGAAGCTCTCCTCTCGGGCTAGGAGCCAGCCCCTCTCCCTTGCCCCCGGAACACTGTGTCCGAGTCGAGGCGTGTGCTTGCTGGTCGACGGCACAGGGGTGGCAGGGGCGCGGAGTCACTCTGTCTGGGAAATTTATTCGCCTGCGTGCGGATCCCGGCATGGAGCGGCCCTCGAGCAGCAGCCAGGGAACGCTTTGCGAGCCGCCTCGGCCGACTTTCGTGTGCGACGCACTGGACGAGAAGCAGCTGACGACCTCCCTGCCCTTCAAAGTTCAAGTGCGGGTGCTCGATGAGAAAGCCGAGGCGATGTCGTCGTTCCAAGGCGACATCATGCTGCTCGCGATTTCGCGCCGCACGTGCCTCGCGGAGGGGTTCGAGCGCAAAGCACTGGGGCGATGGTGCGCCCACCCTCGACTCTCATCGCGGGCGGCCGCGTATATTTTTGCTGCGCTTCACTCCGTCTCGGTCCCCCCCTTCCCCCCCCCACAGGCAGCCCGCCTCGAGCCCACTCCACCACGAGAGCCAGTACTCCCACGGTTTCGACTCGGAGGTGGCGGCGCCCGGCTCGAGCCACAGCCTCTACCTGAGCGGCGGCAACGACGCCAACTTTGGGATGACGCTCAAACTGCCAGCGACCGCGCTCGAGGCCGAGCCTCCGGAGCACTCGCCTGTGGCGGGCGGCGGGCCCGGCGAGTCCGAGTACGAGGACGCGGCGGCGCTGAACGGCAAGTTCCAGCCGGACGCGGTGTCCTTCTACGTGCGCACAGACAACAGCCTCGCGGACGCGGGCCACTTCATCCTCGGCGAGAGCAACGAGGTGAACCGGCGCGTCGCGCAGTTTCAGTTTACGCGCGACGGCAAGATGGGCCTTCTGGGGACAGGGGGCACGACCCACGGCGCGACGCCGTACGAGAGCAACCGGTGGTACCACGTGATGCTGTGCTTCGACTGGAAGCGCAAGACCGTCGCCTTCTCCGTCGACGGAAAGCTGCTGCAGCGCTCGGTGCCCTTTCGGCGCGAGGCGTCCAACTTTATCGGCGCGTGCGCGCTCGGCAACCGCGACCGGTGCACCACGTGGTTCGACTCGATCCGGTTCGTGCAGGAGACGACGCTCAACCGCGTCGCGGTCTCGATCGTCGACGGCGTCGCCGAGACGTGGCTCGGCCCGCTCGGCGAGGACGAGGAGGGGCGCTCGCTCGCGGCGCGAGACGGGTTTGTGCTACGCGCGGAGGATGCCGACGGGCAGGTGTCGGAGCTCGCCGGCCCCTACCACCCGCTCTGCCGGATCGAGGGGGCGCAGCGCGTCGCGATCAACAACGCCGCCCTCGCCGACTTCAACACCTTGCTCGCCGACGACGCCAGCGCCGACGTCACCTTTGTGGTTGGCGGGCGAGACGTGCCGGCGCACCGCTGCATCCTCGCCGCGCGGTGCGAGACCTTCCGCCGAATGTTCAACTCTTCGATGCGCGAGGGGTCGCGCGAGGAGGGACAGCGCGTGCCGATCGCCGAGGTGTCGCACGCGGCCTTCTCCTGCATGCTGCAGTACATCTACAGCGGCGCGGTCGCCGTGCCAGAGGTGACGACCCCCTCCCACCCCCCTCCCCCCCTACCCCTCCCCTCCCCTCCCCCCGCAGCCGCGCGGCGCGAGGAGGGGGCTGTTGCCCGCCCTCCCCCGCCGGCCGCCCAGCCTCCTGCGCTCCTCCGGCCCCAGGAGCTTGCCCTCGAGCTGCTCGGCCTCGCGGACCGCTACCTGCTCGAGGGGCTCAAGCTGCTCTGCGGCTTCACGCTCACGCGCATGGTCTCCGCAGACACCGTGGCTCCCATCCTGCAGGCCGCCGACCGGTACGACTCGCCGTCGTCGCAGCTCAAGGCGCACTGCATGCAGTTCGTCCTCTCCAACTACGAGGCGGTCGTCAACTCGCCCTCCTTCGAGGAGCTCACCTCGAGCCCGCAGCTGCTGCTGGCGGTGACGCGCGCCGCAGCCAAGGTGGTCGCCCCGTCCGGCAGCTCACGACAGATCTCGTGGGACTCGGACGGCGCGCCGGGGAGCAAACGCGCTCGACACGCGTGAGGACGTGGCGCGCGCCAGAGGGCGCGGTGAGGGGAGGGAAGGGCGAGGGAAGGGCGGGGCGTAGCCGCCGCGCTTATGTACCACAATTGGGGAGGGGGAGCGGCCGCCTTGGAGGCCTCGTGTAGACACGCGTGGGCCAGAGTGCGATGGTGGTGATGATACATTCATGCTGTGAGCCTGTGACATCGAGCGCGAATCTTGGGGGAGAACGCTCGGCACTTGGAGCACTTGTGGAGTGCAGTCGCCGAGTCGGCAGCCGCACGCCCAGGACCAGGAGCTAAGAAGCGCACCCAGCACCCGGCCACGGTTTCTCTTTTCATCCTCTTCTTCCCCCTGCTGTTGTGGTGTTCGACCCAGGGAGGAGCAGGGTAGCTCGCTCCGCAAGACCCGAGCCCCCGCGAGGTTCACAAGCTTTCACAGACCACCCAAGACTGCATCCAGACGCCTCTAGAAGGAAATGGAGTCACGCACTTCGCTGCGCGGCCGCCAGTCGCCACGCGAACGCTCCAGACGACGTCCCTGCATCGAGTACGCGGCGAGAGCGCGAGCGTGAGCGGTTGCGCAAGGTCTCGGCTTGTAGACAGCAAGACGGCGCGAGAACCCTTCTCCGGCCGCAGCACAGCGCTACCGCGAGTACTTGCTCTGGACGGAGACGAGGCCGGTGCAGTTTGGCGACGAGCCGCCAAACGACACGTACGAGATCTTCATGAAGGAGCGCCGGCGCGCGAAGGAGAAGGCGCGGCTGCAAGGTGTGGCACGCAAGCGGCAGGCGGAGAGACAACTGCAGCGTCAAACGGTCGTGTCGGACGCCGCCCTAGCTTCGCCCGCTGCGCAACCCGCAGCAAAGCGGCCCCGCGGCCGCCCAGCCGACCCCAACACGGAGCAGCGACGTCGCGATCGCCGGGAGCTGCGCGAGAAGTCGCTCGCTCAGCAGCACCGTCGCGACGCTCGGGATGCAGCGAGAGCGGGGCAGCAGGTACGGAGCACGCTGCAGTTCATGGAGCTAAACCTCACACGTGCAAAGGCGGCGGGCTTCAATCCGTGGGGGGCGCTTCCTGACGATTCCACGCACGTGCAAGCATATGCATTTTGGCGCAGCAAGGCTTTGGGAGCGCAGGTTGACGCGAACCGGATGCGGCGCATGCCCGAGGCAGACGCTCTTGCAGCTACAGCTTTCGCGCGGACATTGACAGCCCGGGCTGCGAAAGCTGGATGGGCGGCGGCGGCCGAGCGGGCCACCACGGCTGATGCGATCGGAGAGGCACGCGCGGCCTCAGCTGCGGCGGCAGCGCATGCTCGGTATGCAGACGCTGTGGCAGTCGCGGCAGCCGGCGCACAGAGTGTTGCCTCGAAGCAGCGCCGCCGGCGCGAGAGTGGTAGCCTCTCGGCGCTGCTGCAGCCGTCGCAGCCGTGGGTGTCCGCGGCGTTCGCGGCCGTCAGCGCACCGCTGCCCGAGTGTGGCTTGGACGCAGATGGCGCCGCGCCGCCAGCGCTGCTGCCGCCGCCGCCGCCGCCGGGCCAGCCTGCGCTGACCGACGCGGTGGTGCCGCGCGTGTGGTCAACGGAGGGGCAATGCGAGGGGATGACGCACCAGAGCGGCGGGACAGAGCGATGCCGGGTGCATCGCAATAGCCCGTACGCAGTCGCGGCACCGCTGCGCCGCGGCGAGCGGTACTGCGGCCACCATCACCCCGACAAGTTCACCGGGGTGCAGTGCGCAGGGCAGCGCAAGCACGGCAAGGGCCGATGCCGAGTGTGGAGCGGTTGCTGCTATGCCGATGCCGCCCCGCTCCGTCGCGGCAGCCCCTACTGCCACCACCACCGCGTGCGCTGCGTGGGGCTGACGCAGTCCGGCGCGCGCTGCACCGTGACGAGCTCCTCCGAGAACGTGCACGCGCAGCCGCTGCGCGACGGCGAGCTGCACTGCGCACACCATCAGCCCGCGGCGCCATCGTCGCTTGCTCCATCGGCGCCCTGTCCACGCGCCGCGGTCAGCGATCGGGCCATCGTGCTCGGTAGCAGCGAAGATTTCGAGGGCCCGGACGGGCCGCTGCCGCCATCCATCGCGATCGTTGAAAGCGAGGCCAGGCTAGAGCAGGGCAACTGCCTTACGCAGCTACTCCGACGCTTCCCTGCACTTCACTACACCTCGATCAAGTACAGTGACCCCACACTCCCCCACTTGTGGGTGCTCCCGCTCGAGGGGCAAACGGCACAAACGGGCCGGCTCGCGGACTTCATGGTGAGCTTAGGGCTCACTGTGAGAGAGCAAGACCTTGACTACGAGAGCTCCGATGACGATGCAGCCAGCGATGTCGACAGCGCGCGTTGCGATGAGCCGCTGGACCCTGACGTAGAGGCGGAGTTGCCCGATTATTTTTAATAGGCATTGCGGCTAGAATGAATATTCGGTCGCCCCGCCCGCCCGCCCCAAACTTCTTGGGTGGAAAGAAATGCCAGTGGCCTTTTACTCGAGTATGCCCGGGGGGGCCCGGTAACTCAAGACGGTCTGGTCGGGGGCAACCAGACAGGTCCAAGCGGCGCGAATGCCACCCAAGCGCAAAGCTGCGCCGCCACCGGCCAAGCGAAATGTGCGTACTAAGGCCATCGACGGTGCGCCCGTCTCGTCCGAGCCAGCCGTGTGGACCGTTGCCCGCCTCGGCGCCAAGTCCAAGCAGCAGCGTAAGGCTGAGCACGGCGACCGCTCAAGGCAGACGAAAACGCTGTGCAGGCGGCTTGCATTGCGGAGAGAGGGCGTCGTGGGCGAAGCGAGTGTCAACCCAAACTTCTTTGGACGCCTCCTCGGCATGACGCACAGAGTCAAGGACTACAATTCATACCGGAGCCGCGGGCACGCGGGCCGCTTTGAGGCCGGCACGAATGATCGAGCGGTGATGGTCACCAGCATGGCGGCCTACGATGAGCTGCGCAGCGCGATCGGCGCCGAGCACGCGCCGCTGATCGAGGACGGCGATCTCGGCGAGAACATCCTTCTCCGCGGCCCCTCGGCCACCGCGAGTGAGCGAGCAGGGGACGGGCGGCTGGCGGTGGGGAGCTGGCTGCGTATCGGGTCATCGGTGCTCGAGGTGACCGAGGCCAATAACCCCTGCTATCGATTCAATACGCAACCCTGGGCAGCGGCGGCGAAGGAGCGCTGGGGCAGCGGCTCGCCCGACGGGCCGGAGAAGTGGTTCCGCAACCTTAAGTGCCCGCTCAACAATGAACATTTCCCTGGCGTGCGCGGCTGGCTCTGTCGGGTGGTCGAGGAGGGCGAGGTGGCAGTTGGTGACGCCGCTGGATTGCTGCCCGATGACTAACTGGGCCCTCCCCTCAAGCGTCAAGGCCGCAAGCGGGGCCCTCTCTCGCTCTCGTGTCTCGATGCACCCGCGGTCCACGTCCTAGACCTAGTACGAGCTCCTATAGTCCACGTCTCGGTCTCACCTGCCGTGTCCTTACACGCGTCCGGTTTGCGCGGAATGGTTGAGAGAGTATAACAGCACGACTAAAATGATGGCCCTCACACTGGCCGACCTATGGCACCCCCCTGTGAGCAGTGTGCCGCACACGACAACCCCAGCCGGGCATGCCTCGAGGGCATGCCGAACTCATGCACAGTGGGAGCCGGGCCCAGGATGGCACTCGAGCTCTTCTGACGGCGCCGTTGAAGCACTCAGACGAGATCCGAGGGCGTTCGCTCCGAGGGCGCGGCGCGCAACACGCGGCGAAGTGCGACCGCCGCGACCGCGAGGATCCCGGCCACGCCGAGCATGGCGAGCGCACTTCCGCCCTGCACCGCCGCTTCTGGCTCTTGCGCGAGTCCCCAGCGCCCGGGCCTCTTGCTGCTGACGGTCTGAACGGGCGTGGCGTCCTTCGCCGCGCTCCCGACGGTCTGGACCGGTGTGGCATCCTGGGCTTTGGACTGGAAGGAATAGAGGCCGTCAGCAGTGGTCTGAACTGGGGTGGCATCTTTCGCGGCGCTCCCAACCGTTGCAACAGGTGTGGCATCCTGCGCCTTGCTCTGCACGGTCTTTACTGGCTCTTTATTGCGCCCGCGCTTCTCGTCAACGGCTTGCGGGTCGAGCGCGGCGACGCACGCGATCACAGCGAGGAGGAAGCGCGACATATATACAACGTACACACACACATTGAAGGCAGGGTAATTGGAGGACCAACCCGACGGCGGGCGCGGGTTTTTCTCTTTTTTGTTTTTTCGGTTTTATGGAAACATCAGAAGGGGTGGTGACGTGCTACACTTCACGCAGATCATCGCTCCATCTTGCCCGCCAAAAGAAAGCCAATTCTTGACTTGGGCCCTGCGGGCGGCCTTCTCTCGAGGTCTCGAGATACACAAAGCGGCCAACGCTCCATCAAGTTTTGCGTCTTGTAACAGCCGGAGCAATGGCCGGCACCGCGCTCCACTTGCAGGAGCAGCTTGCGCAAATCCGCGCCGAGAAGAAGAGACTTCAGGTGGCCGAGGCGGTGCGTGCCGACGCCGAGGGCCACGCACAGCAGCTCGACGACGAGTCGCTGCACCTCCACCGCACCCTCGATAAGCTCAACGCGCAGATTGCGCGGCTTCAGGAGCCGCCACAGCCCGCCGTACGCAAGTACGGCTGGGCCAACCCCGCCGACGTCGAGCGCAACATTATCATGCTGCGCAAGCGCAACGCCGCCCTGTCCCGCATCCTCGACAAGTGCAGCGATCCGGGCGCACGGATGCGAGAAGAGGAGGAGCTGAGGCGGCTCCAGGGCGAGGTGCACGCGACGGAGCGGAGGCTCGAGCTGCGGGACAAGGAGTTGCGCCAGCTAAACCGACAGGCGGGGCGGCTGCTCCGCCAGCGCGAGGAGGCGGCCTGGCACAAGCGCGATGCGCAAGTTGGGCTGGACGAAGTGGAGGCGCGGCACATCGAGCGGCTAGGGGCGGTGGAGGTGGCGCAGCGAGAGAGGTACGAGCTCGCGATGCGCAAGGTGGAGGAGCTACAGGAGGACCGGCGCTGCTGGCTCCAGCCGCTTGTGCATGCCGCGCAGCTGCTGCGTACGCGGCGCGACGCGCCGTACGAGCACTTGAGGCAAATTGCAGACGAGCCGTCGCCCGCGTTAGCACTCATCGACTCAATGCGTCGAATGACGGCGAACAACAAGGAGTGGCTAGAGCAGAGCGAAAAGGCGACCAGGGCTGAAACGGCCATGCTGCAGAAGCTAGAGAGGTTGCACACCCGCCTTGTGCAGAGCGAGGAGATCCAGTCCGAGATCCAGAATGGCTGCTACGGATTCAGCCCCAGCGCGGCGCCGGCCGACGAGAACGGATTGCACGGCGACAGCAGCCCGAAGAAGACTCGCAAGGTGCCCCCCCTGGCCGTTGGCCGTACAGCAGCGGTGCGAGCGGTCGCGGCCTAACTCTCCGGCTTGTCTTCGGCATGTGAAGGTCCAAAGCCATAGCCACCACCTCCTCATCCCGTGACGAAAAACGAACGCACACCAAGCCGCAAGCGCTAAGCGTGAGGACACGATTTCGAATTCGTAGGAGCATCTGAGCACGAAATATTGAGCCCGCTCAGGTGTGAACAAAAGATATAAGGGTCGACCAGATTTCGAACTGGGGACCTCCCGCTGGGGTTGAAAGGAGGTCTCAGCTCGGGAAACCTATATAGCATACCGGAGGAATTAGACACCACAGATACGCACACACCGACGCCCGAAGTGCCAAGAAGGACGTCATTAGTACGAAACCTCAGAAGGCCATGGGCGCCGAGAGAACATTCCCCCGAGAGGACAAAAGAAAAGGCTTCGCACCCCCCCTCCTTGCGCAGTGACCCTCGCTAAGTGTCGCCGTTATCGGGGCACGCTATCCTGCGCAGGCAGGGCAAGCGGGGGCGGGGGGCACTCCCCCTGGTCTGATACTCCCCCTGGGGCGTAAGAATATCTATTTTTTAGCGACCACCTCCTCCGGCAAGTCCTTTCGCCGTATCTCGCCGTCCCTCCTCAGCGTCGGAAAAGTCGAACTCGGAGTCATACTCGGAAGCAGGCACAGACGGCCGCGGTGATTTGGCAGGCGGCGAGGAGGGGGAGGGGGAGCGCGGCGGTGCGTGCTCGTGGCTCCCGCTGGTGCCAGAAGGGCCAGCGCCCAGCGCGCTCAGCCTGTTCTTGTTCACCTTGGGAGAGGGGGGTGGGGGTCCACCTCCCTTGGGTGCGGGCTGGCGGTCAGGCTTGCGCTTGACCGCCTTGCCCGGCGGCTTGCGGCCAGGGTTCCTCATGGTGAACCTGTCCGGCATGCGCCGGCCCCATCGGCCCCGCCCTTCCCAACCCTGGTCCACCCCTCGGGCGACTCGTTGGGCTGGGGTTGCTGCACCTGTTGGTGCTCTGCGGGTGGTGCCTGCGGTGCTGCGGCCGGAGCTGCAGCGGCGGCAGGCGGTGCTGCGGGCGGTGCCGCGGCGGAGGTGGCAGAGCAGGACTCTCCTGGTACGTACTGTGACGTATGTGGTAACCACTGAACCCAAACATGAATAAACTACTTTCCTCTGGGCCGGCGCGGGGGCCCCCGGAGGCACCGTGCGCCGCGCCGCAGTGCGGAAACGGGGCTCCGGCTCTACTAGTCTCTACTAGCACCAACTTCCCGATCTAACCCGGTCTAACAGAGGGCAGATTTGGAGAGATCTCGAGGAGTACATACAGATAGACCCTCTAACCATAAGAAAACTCCGACCTGATCGGTCGTACTGACCGCCGACAGATCACTCCAGACAGCAGACAGCGCGACGTCTGCACGCGGCTGGCCGGGCGAGAGGCTTGACACGATCCGACCCTGCGACCCTGACGCTGCAGCTCTAGCTATCAGACATGCACTGCTGACTGCTGCCACAATATGCGACCTGTGCTGGCCCACTTGGCGGCCTTCCCGGTCAGTGGTGAGGCGCAGTTCAGAGCTGTCGATGGCGCGATGCCGCACTGGTCCCACATTGGTGACACGAGACCACCAAGTTTGCCAGTCCAAGAGAGAGGCACCGGCGCTGTCCTGTGAAGGTGCGTGGTCCCTCCTGACTGCCCATGCGCGCGAGGCTGTGTAGGCATAGCCTCGAGAGTGCCAGCAGCCAATCCGAGGCGACGCGCATTGCGCCAGAAGCGTGCACACGATGGAAGGACACCTTCCTACTGGTCGTAGAATCAGGTCGTCACTGAATGCTTGATACTAAGGCCGCGAGCTATGCAGGTGATCAATTGTGCATCATGGCACGGTCAGCAGCGCCGACAGGCTGTCGCAAGGCGTGATAGCATGGCCGCAAGTACGCAGAATTCCCATGAAAACAAGTAAAAATGGCGAAAAAAAGAAAAAAATCCCGAAAAAATCGGCGCCTGCGGCGGGCCGTGGGAACCCATCTCCCCCCCGCATGGACACCCTCTGGGGGCCCCGCGCCGGCCCAGAGCTACTTTCTCTCGCCATGTAAGAAACATGTAAGGCAAAGGGGGTATTCGCATGCACATTCGCAGAGTTCCGCACGCGCAAACGACC